TGGATTAATTATCTGCTGGATGAATTATCTGCTGGATTAATAATCTGCTGGATGAATTATCTGCTGGATTAATTATCTGCTGGATTAATAATCTGGTGAACATGACGTTCACTTGCTCAAAGTAAATAAAGTAGCAGCACTTTCTTTATTTCATTTAAACTGATTTACCTTCATGGACCTCCATCACATGTTTCTAGTGGGGAAATGACATCAATAGAAACACGTGGAGCTGATTTTAATTTGTGTAATAAGACAAAACAGTTGTTGTTTTCAACAGTTTTCACCTTAAAGAAATAAGTTACACAACTGATGTTACAATACAAACAGTTGGATGTTGTCTTCATATTTGTTAATTTTATATATTGAGAAATATGTTAAATAAAACTTTATTATTAAAAAAACAACACACAAAGTACTAAAAAATCAGTACTGTTAAGTACCGGTACTGATTCCCAGGTACCAGATATTGGTACCAAATGGATTCAGATATCAAAGGTACCATCCCTAAGTGAGATTAACTTATATTATTGATCAAATACTTATTTTCACCATAATTTTCAAAYAAATTGTTACAAAGTCAGACAATGTGCTGTGATGTTTTCTCATGCAGTGTGTTGTAGTGATGATGTCAGTCACAGGCTCTCACTGTTCTGTGGCAGAACTTGAACTGACTGAATACTTTCCTCCTGCTGCAGCTGGTTTGAGAGCGCTGCTCCCCGGTGTTACTCAGAGTGTGTGCGGGTGCTGGGACCAGTCGTGGAACAAGGTGTAGAAAAGACGAAAGCAGCAGCTGTTCTCATCTCTGATAACACCACACAGTTCCTGCTGTGGCTCAGAGAAACCACACCACTGCTCATAGACTGGGTAAGACTCGTCTTCCTTCACAACTTTACTTTGGGTAGTGTTTGTAGTACAAACTGTGTACTGAAGTTTTTGTGTTGTGTGTTTGTCCAGGTGTACACACACACTCCAGACAGTGTGTTCCAGGTGTTGGCCTATTTAAAAGAGCTCCTCGTCTTCATCCATCAGAATTACATCCTGCCAGCACTGACCAGCATGTCTGAGCAGCTACAGCTAGCATGGACCAACCTGCAGGACTCCTGCAAGTCAGTGTCTGCAGTGTCTGAGTGGGAGGGTCTTCATGTGTGGGCGGAGCCTGGAGGGACATGATTGGTTGTTTAGGCTGGGCTTTGAACCATGTGTTTGTTTGGATGAACAGCAGCAGCTGAGGGCTGTGCAGTGATTCAGCTCAGACACTATGGTTGTGTTCAGAGGTTCAGAGGTTTGTCCTCACTCTGCCAGGAGACACTTTGACCTTGTAAAGGTCACGAAGTGACACCCTGGAGTTCAGTTTTACATAAAAATAAACTGCTGGTACAAAAACTGTAAAAAACATTTAAAACTGTTATGGTTTTCTCATTTTCATAAACATGTTTTTTTTATTCTGTCAGAAGTCAGGCTGGAACCCTTTGAGAGTATACAGAAATACATAGGTTAAATTTTAATACCTTTGTTTCATATGGTCACAATATTTTAACACCATCATGACTTTAAACTGCAGCCTGTTGAACCTCAGTTCAGGGTAACTAATAAAAATAAATAGATTAGTGTCATTTTCTTACCTTTAGTAGTAAGGCTAGTATTATTACACAGTGATACATAAATAACTTGTTACATGATGTTTATTACTTTTAAATACTTTTAAATGGCCTTAA